TCTGGCATCTGATTGGTGCCAGAAAATCTTTGTGTTTTTCTGCCCAATCAGAGTAAAGTATGCTTTAGAGTCCTTTCGTGTGTTTTAACACGGAGATGTACAAAAAGCTCAGTTGCTAACCTTGTTTGCTTGGGCTGTTTAATTCACCTGAATTATAAATATATATGCTATACTTACCTCCTCATTAACAGGCTTCTCTGTATAAGCACCCATAAGATCCATTCCCTTCTCTGAGAACTGTTTTGCCATTTCCTTCAGACGTTTGTTCTGTTTTTTCGTTTTCATGTCTTTCCCTACAGCAACATCACAAAAGGAAGCAATATAAAACCTGGCCTCTTGAAAATACATGGAAGTAATATTACAAATAATACTGACTGCATGGGCATTGAAGGATATGGCAGTGGGGATGTGTAGTGAGGGTGTTACATAGTGCCTTTTTTTGGCCTCTTTTTGAAATTCTTCTCCTTGACTAAGTATCTTTTTCAATCAAAAGCTCTTGCTTACTTTTCCCTACTTTTATGGGGTAAGAGTATATAGAGTAGATATACAAACCTGCTCGTTGAACATCAGTAGAGGTCTTTGTAACACTTGCTGTTTTAGCCTCAGCCTCATGCCCGTTGACCCTCTCCTCAACTTCCGCACTCTCTGATTGAGGAGCTTTTAGCACAATTTCTTCTCCCACAGATCCCTCCAGGGTTAGCTCAAAGTTTTCATCTGTGTCTCTAGATAAAGTTGCAGCTACCTGCGCTGCAAACTGTGCTCGCACATCTTGTTGCCGTGATGATAGTGGAGGTGTACTTGAACTACTGGACTGTCCTGATATATCTGGGGTGTTAGTTGGTGTACCCCCAGTACTTCCTGATGCACTTCCTGATACACTTCCTGATGGTTGACGATTATTAAGAATTTCCTGTGTCACATCTTTGTTACTGTCTAGATCTATCATTCGAATTAATTTCCTCTCCCGTGCACGTGGCTCAAAATTTTGACCAGGACTGTACTGCTGTATTGTATTCATGGGAGTTGCAGGGGCCCTAAGAATATACAAAGGACCTGATGGCTGTCCCATTGGATATATTGTTTGTTGAGGAGTATAACCAAAATGGCCAGGACCCTGGGAAGGGCCTGATACAGGAGGAAATGCCCCTGACATGGGTTGCTGAGGTCTGTACTGCATCTGCAGCGGACCAGGAATTTGCCCATTATCAACCTGTGCATGAAAAAACAGTAATGAACAGATCAATACTCTACAAGCAGAATTTAAGCCATATCTTGTATAACTATACACTGTCAATAGCAAATTTATTACCTTCCCTATTTTGGAAAAGAAACCTTTTAGAGAATGGCATCTCTTTATTCAAAACCAATACAATCTGCCATACATGAACTATGTGAGCAAAAAGCCAAACTCTATGTTTCAAGTTATTGAGTCAAGGAAGTTGGTAATCTAAAAATGAGAATAAGGTGTTTTGATACAGTAAGAATCTTGTCATCTTAGGATTTTTTCCAAACTAAAAAGGATACCCATAAGACTTACGTATTCACACTCATTTCCAAACCAAGAAAAACATAGGCATACGTAGCATGCAAGAGTTACTTTTTTAGCTGGGTAAGTCGAGATGGGACAGTTTATGTTCCTAATATTTTCATAACTTTCAATAGATCAAAAATATCATATTACACAGGCATTTTGTGGTCTATTGTCTCTATCATCTAAATACCTCGAAGCAAAGATAAAATGTATCACTACTGTTGTCTCTGCAGCCATTGTTTGGTCTTGTTACACAATGCCCTCTCTTCCCTGTTGGAGAGAGAGCCACTGTGTGACAAGACCAAATAATGGTTGCAAAAGAGAATATGCTTACGGCCTTTTCTCTAACAGAAAGAAAATCAAATTATTCATCTACAGTTAGTTGACTCAAAAACATAATTCCAAGTATTTTTACTGCAAAAAGCAAACTGAAACTGTTTTATCTCCAATATACCCTAACCAAAGATATATTGCAATCTAGTATAAGGGAAAATACACTGAGCCAGAGAAAAGGATAATATTTTGAAGAAGGCTCCTTGACTGGTTGTTGCCTATCTTGACTTTAATTTGCCCTCTGTGTGCATGTGTGATGTGAAAAAATGCATGTTGTTCACAAGGAATTAACATGCGATTGGGTTGAGTCCAAGATAGCTAAAAGCAAATTTTATCTGCAGAAAAATTCAAAACGCAGGAAAACGTGTGGAAAATTCACTATCAGTAGCACAAAGTTTCGTGTGAATTTTTTTCTGTGGTGTTGGATAATGCGGTTAGAATACGTGATAAAATGCAGGTTGTTTACAAGGAAATGGCATGTGACAGAGCGAGGTCCAATATGGAGAAATGGGATTTGATTGGTAGAATACAATTCAAGTACATGAAAAATTGTCCAATGTTCATGTAGAGCAATGGTTTGGTATGTTCTGATTGGACTTTAGATGTTGTTTTCACAGTACGTGATGGAATGTCAGTTGTTTGGTGTGTGTGTTGCGAGAAAAGAAGCGGAAAAACACATGTTAACTTAAAAATTATCCCAATAAATCTCAACCTCACGTGACGAGGCTCTTACAAAGGCCACAATAATAACACTTATCAAAATAATGAGCCCAAAATTTCTAGTTAATGTCATTCTTTGTGCACAGCCTCCTCATTTCATGAGATCATTTGCAAGAAAACAATATCCAGGTGCCAGATACATACTGTAATGTGCCAATTTGATTGGTGTGAGATATATATCCCAATGCAGCAATCAGATGAGTGTGAGATCCAAACCCTAATGTGGCGATCTGATTGCAACATGCCACTCTACACTCTATCAATGAGTTTTTTTTTCAAATTAAAAAAAGATGACTCAAAAAATTGTTATCCACATATGAAGCAAATATTAAGTTTAAAGAAAAAAGGAAAAACATTTACTGGCCAATATATCTTACAGAAAGGTAATAATTATACTTGCCTGAAACTGAAACTTCAACACATTTTGAAATCCCCATCATGTACATTCCATTAAAAATAGTTCGATTTTAAAATGTTCTGTTGTGCATGAAGAAATTGGGAAAGGACTGAACAAAGCCGAGAACCATTAAGCTTAATAACCAAGCTCAAACAAAAGGTAACCTGATGTTGATTGCTCAACATAATCTTGAAGTTGGTAGCATTTTGTTGCGCAATGTTTATATGGAAGAGAAATATTATTTAGGGTCACTCTTTGAGTTCCTATCCTCTGCAACTCTGAACGTGGTCTGAAAGACTTAAACTTTTGCTAAATATTTGTGTTTTCACCATAAATTGTTTGCTACTCAGTCTCTTCCTGAACAGAAATTCTACTTTTACCTAATCTATTCTGCCACCGGTTTCTCGCCCCGCCCGTCTCGAACCAGCCAGGCTACTGATCGACAAAATCCTAGTTTAATCAAATAACAAGTGAATGAAAACCGGAGATCACCAAACGAAATAAAAAACTGTGTTTGTCACACAGGATCGGATGAAATTGATGAAAATGTTTGCTCCAAATTAAGGATGTCTGTGAGCCCGTCGATATTTCAGTCTATCTAAGCCAGAAGAGCAAACCATTTCCATTATAAAATATTTCAACGCATATAAAAGAAGGAACAAAACTAAAGGATTGCAAATACATTCCCCTCTTTTAAATCCCTGGCTGGGAATTTTCATTACCTTCCGTAAATTATGTACAAACATTTCCGATGATCCTACCTCTTCACGGAAGTAAATTACAAAATACTTTTCCTAAAATAATAACCAAACAGGGCAGTTCGCAAACCAACCACTATAAAAACTTAGATCTTAGGTGATTAAGCACTTTTTAATGACGTACACAGTCCCTTAGGAACGGAACAAAACACCTGTACACAGAATAGCTACAAAAAAAAGTCACAAAATTCTACGAGACAACAAAACATCAGCATCGGTGGGATCGTCGACGAAAATATGACATGAATTACAGAAGATAAAAATTATTTACCGGGAAAGTCTGTTGTTGTCTTTGAATGAAATCGTCAGGTCCTAAAGAAATTAATAGACATATCAATTGCGTTGAAATTCACGGAAATCCTTGTTCTTTCGTACAATTGCAAACGTCAGCAATTTCACCCTGTCCTGTTCATCCCTCTCGACGATCTACAGATTTCACTTGGAAATTCCAAAGAATCAAGACTTACTTGGCTGTGACGAAGGCAGCTCACGAGCATTTCTGTGATCAAGGAATGAAGGATAACAACAAAAATTTGGTTTGGAAAATTTGACACGACGTAACAAAGGCTTACACAACGAGGAACAAAAATCCAATATGGATTTCTCTCGATAAGTATTCACAAGCATCACGTTCACCCTGCGGATAAAATGACAAGGATACTGCTGTGATGGTC